TGCCTTTGTTTTCGGGTCTTCCCTTGTCTTCTAGTAACGTCAGGTATAAGGGAATGTAGTCGCATCCAAACACCTCGACACTTCCCTCGCTCCAAGAGTCGGAGAATATGCTCCATGGTCGAGGTGTGCAGAAGACTTAGGCGGGTGTATGTGATGTGGGCCTGACTCAGCAGCTTCGTGCGAATCGGATGGCCATTGTCTTCGTCTATCACTATGATATCAGGGTCCTGCTCGGGGACGTCCAGATGCCAAGCTATATGATTTCCTGCGGCACCGCCGTCGCTTGGTAACGGCGGTCCGCACCCTCAGTGCTCCGCAGGCCTCGAGGTAGTGGCCGGTGACGGTTCGTGCGTCGACGGGTCTGCCTCGTCCTCCTTCGCCTTATCTTTGGTCATAGGCTTGACGATCACAGGCGTACTCGCGTGCCAGGTGGCCGGCCCCTGCTTCGCGCGAACCTTCTTGTCCTTACCGTTGCCGAAGAAATGCGAAATAGGTAACAGCAGATGTCCTGATCTTGAATCTTCCAGGTTGAAAGTGAGCGTCCCCGGCGGTGGTGTGAACTGTACTCTTCCCGGGCCACGCAGATACAACTTGTTGTTGATCATGTCGACCACCGCCCTGTTGTGCTTCAGACTGCGCTTTCCCCAGAGAGCGGGAATGTCGGAATCCGGAACCACTGGGGCCTTGTAACTTATCTGATGCACCTTGCCTCGTTCATCCTTGGATGCGCCTGGCATCGTCACCTCCTCCTTGGCGATCTGAGCGTTGGTACCGACTCCTTCAACCCCGATCGATTGATCCATCAGACGTTGCGTCGGTTCCAAGCCTGCCCGTTTGGCCAAAGCTCCCATTCGCATAACCCATCTGTCACCTACCAAATTGTCATATGCACCTGGATCTATCAACAAGCACTCCTTACCATCAATTCGTGTCGCCTCTAGAAATACCTGTCGTGTCTCGTCGTATCGCTCGAACACCGGTCCCACAAACCACTTCAATCCAGCGGGCTTGGTTCCTGAGTCGATCTGCTCGTCGTTGGACCGATGCTCTCCAAGAGTTGCCTCCGTGTCCGGGTCGTCTATGATCCGAGCCTTCGCCTGTTCGATCATCTGGATCGTTTCATTGCCGATGTCCACGAACTCCGAGGGAGTCGATAGCACATCCCAAGATGCGGACGAAGCACAGTCACGGCGGACCTCCTCTTGAAGGTCTGGCCGCGCATGCGACTCGCACACGCGCGAGCCTTCCTCCTCCACGTCCGGGTAGTAGCTGTCCTCGCACTCCTTCTCGTCATCCCTGGACTCGCCCACCTGTGACTCCAGGTTGATCGGCATGGCGAAGAAGTGTCTGGTCGCTGCTGACGCTGGCGGTTGACCCGTGAGTTGCTGCCAGTGCTGCAACGCACTGGAGAAACTTGAAGCTGGTGGGGCTCCTCCTGTACTCGTGTTTCCTTCCGTCGTAACGTAACCCTTTCCTCCTGAGGTAGCCCGTTTTCGTCGGTAATCGTCAGCTCCTGGAGCGTCGCACTTCCTCCATAGATGCTTCTCGCTGTTGCAGTGGTCACATCGAAGTGGCTGTCCGTTCGCGCCTCTCGGGTTGGTCTTCTCGCCCTTGCCCTTGCCCTTGTAGTATTCATGGGTGTTCCACGTACACCCGGGGCAAAGAGCTCCGTCTCCTGCTTCAGAAAGAAAGGACCATCCACTGTTTCTCTGGAATCTGACCCCTTTCTTGCCCTTGCCCTTGCCTTTGTATCTACGACGTCTTGGAAGTCTGTCTGCTCGCCTCCTCCAGTGCTTCTTGGCCAAAGCGTATACTTCATACAGGTCGCTGTCGCTCATCTGGGCACTGATGTGGAAGGTCGACTCCGCCAAATCGTTGCCGTCGTCATCACTCGTCTCGGTGGAGTCCGGATCCTCCCGGTCGTAGAATATTTTATGGCAATTGCTGCAGCAGCATCCTTCGGTATTTGATCCATTCTGTATCCCAGCGACTCCACCGAGTGGTGCACCTGACCTCGACGAAGACGATGCACTGGGATAGTAGGGCATCGGTGGCGGTGGTACTCCCACTTGTGTGCCGGCGTCTTGTGAAATGTCTGCGAAGTAGAACCCATCGCCGGCGCCTGCGGAGTTTGTGAAGTGCTGATGTCTGGATTGATGAGCTGCCTGCGCGAGTCCACTCCGCTCATACAAATGATTCTGACGCCTGCTAAAAGAGGTAAGACTTGAAAGCTCCTGTTCATTCGTTGGCAAGTTACCTCCCGTTGGTGCCAGAAATTGCGCCCACTGTGGCGGTGGGATACCAAGAGCATTGAGCAACATCCAAGCCAGATTCGGGATCCCCATGTGGAAATTTCCCAGATGCTCAGCCTTGAACTTCAGAAGATCAAATCGAGCCAGAGCTTGGTCAATCGGTTCGCCTGGCCTTCGACGGAAGGCAACTAGGTCGGTCATGCTCGCGATAGCGGTCTCCACCTCCAGTGGCATGAATTTACGTCGCAGCCCATGAATCAATAAGTCTAGCCCCGAACACCATCGATGTCCAGCTCCATCACGTAGGTCCATGTAAACTCCGTCTTGTAGTTGATCTGGCGGCACCTCTCTCGATATCTCTCTGGCCAATCCCGATAACTGCAAGACCACGGCCGGAGCAATCGAACGTGCCGGTATGTCTGTCATCGCTTCCCACATGCGTATATCCGTGATCCAGTCACGGAGTGGATATGAGGATTCCCTGGCGGGGTCCCAGCTCGGTGGCGTCTTCGTATTCGACTGCATGATCTGAGGTCCCGCTGGTAGTCCACCTGCCATCTGTGGAGCGTTGGACATGACGTAGTCGTAGTAGCGCAGTGGTGTCGTATCCTGGGAGCAGGTACGGGATCGCACCTGCTCCGCTACCAAGTTATTTTCCAGATGCTCACCCTCCCAGGTCAACGCCTCCCAAAGGTGGTAGCTGTCCAGCTCTGCCAGCGCGTCCGCCGACAGGGGTGATACGTGCACGCCGACCGTGCCAGTCCTGAGAGCCCTGCTGGCCCCGAGGGCCACGAAGAGGGAGAGGACCACGAAGATCGTCGTGATGTTGATAATCTTGGTTATCTGATATGGAATGATGGTGGAAAGGGGGCTGCCGCCGCAAACAGGATTCGCACCCTCAAGAGAGGCTTCTCACTGAATGGCTTGAGCCAAAGCGGCAATCACGCCGCTTTGCCATATACATGCCTCTCTGCACGCTGGGCACTCATGCTTACCCTCCCTTCTCCCGGGAGGACATCTACACATCAACTCTCCACAGGGGGAAGGTGACCCTGGATTCAGGTGTCGGTGGTAATATGCCGGTCACCTTGTGAGCCAGAACATTACCACCATCACCGAGATCGGGATCTTCCCTCGGTGGAGGCACAGTGCCGATATTGGTGTTGGTGTAAACCTCTAGGCCTGCGAAGGAGGAGGAGGAGGAGGAGGAGGAGGACGAGGAGGAGGACGAGGAGGAGGAGGAGGAGGAGGAGGAAGGAGGAGGGAGGAGGAGGAGGAGGAGGGAGGAGGAGGGAGGAGGAGGGAGGAGGAGGGAGGAAGGGAGGAGGGGGGAGGAGGAGGGAGGAGGGAGGAGGGAGGAGGGAGGAGGGAGGAGGGAGGAGGGCGAGAGGGAGGAGGGGAGGAGGGAGGAGGGAGGAGGAGGAGGAGGAGGAGGAGGAGGAGGGAGGAGGAGGAGGAGGAGGAGGAGGAGGAGGAGGAGGAGGAGGAGGAGGAGGGAGGAAGGAGGAGGAGGAGGAGGAGGAAGAGGAGGAGGAGGAGGAGGAGAGGAGGAGGAGGAGGACGAGGAGGAGGAGGGAGGAGAAGGAGGAGGAGGAAGAGGAGGGAGGAGGAGGAGGAGGGGGGAGGAGGGAGGAGGGAGGAGGGAGGGGGAGGAGGGAGGAGGAGGAGGAGGAGGCGGAGGAGGAGGAGGAGGAGGAGGAGGAGGAGTAGAGAGGAGGAGGAGGAGGAGGAGGAGGAGGAGGAGGAGGAGGAGGAGGAGGAGGAGGAGGAGGAGGAGGAGGAACAGGAGGAGGAGGAGGAGGAGGAGGAGGGAGGAGAGCAAGCAACACGGCACGGCACGGCAGCGCCCCCGCACCCTCGAGGCCAAACGCGGCACGCGGGCACGGCACGCGGGCACGGCACGCGAGCACGGCACGGCGGCGGCCAGCCCTTTCTTTGCCTTCCGGAATGCCACGGAGGCGGCAGGGCGCGGCGCGCGGGCACGGCACGCGGGCGGCAACCTGCGCGCCACGTTCGACCCCGAGCGCGGCACGGGCACGGCACGGCGCGGCATGGGCACGACACGGCTCGGGCCGGAAGGGGGGGGGTGAGAATCAGCTCACGCAGCTGACTTTCCCGGCGCCTCCTGGCGCCGGGAGGCGCCCATGTCTCGTGGAATGGGCCCCGCGGCGGGGCCGAAACCAGCTGCATGCAGCAGATTTCGTAGCCCCCCCTTTCCCTATTCCCACCCTTTTGTTCGGCCCGAACAGCACGCGGGCGGTGACCTCCCCTCCTTCCCACATCCAAGCACGGGATGGCACGCTGGCGGCAGCTTCTCCGCGCTCCCAGAGCAAAGAAGTGGGCTCTGAGAGCACACGTGGGGGGCCATTCGCAGCACTCGCTGCGCAAGGGGAGAGGGCCGATTGAAAAATCAGATCGTCGGAGATCTATGGAGGTCACTTTGGCGACGGGCCACTCTTCTAGGCGATGGCGTTACGCAGAAGACCATACTTTGGCGATGGCGTTACGCAAAAGAGCATACTAATGAACACGAAGCGCCCCTTTGGAAGCGCACGTCCGAACCAAACATACAACACAAACGCAGTGCATCGTTACCGAGGCGATCTGGCCAGAAAACGCCCGCCGCCGACCATGTACCAGGAAATCTCTGAGCGCAAGCGTGGGTGGGCGGGGGGAGGCGACGCACACATGTAGTTCAAAATGTGTTCAGCTGCTGCCGATCTTCTCCTTGCGCGCAGCCGAACTGGCCTCGAACATGTTTTTCGTCTGGTGCCGCCCCTGCGTCCTTCGGGAACGGCCAAGGGGGGGTGTCCAAGAGGGGGGGTGCAGATCATGACCGGCGGCACGTGCGCGGCCCAGCGGGGGGGCCAGGGACGTATAACAAGAAGAGGCGCCATGAAATCTGGGGAAATATCATGGCCCCCGCCATGATATCCACACCCCCCTAGTCATCACCCCCCTCTTTTCTGCCCCCCGAGTCCTGATCAGCACGCTGCCCGACCTCGACAGCCTCGGCACCGGGGACGCGCCGGGCGTGTCCGCGCCGCCGGCCGCCTCCGCGAGCCCGCCGGAGGACTCGCCCGAGGCGGCATCGAAGCTGTTCGGGGCGGGCGAGACTGAAAGGGCCCTGGGACACACAAATAAATACACACAAATAAAACAATCCCCATCTTTTCCCATATCTGCTGGGTTTTTGTCTCCCCCCCCCCCCCTTTCCATAGTTTCCGATATTTTCTGGGGGATCGACGATTAATTGTGTGTGTGTGTGTTTTCCCAACCATCCTGTGGTGTTGGGTCGTCGTTTTGAAGAGACGGTGCCCCGCGTCTCCTTCCTTCCTCCTCCCCCTCCTCCCTCCTCCCCCATCCTGGCTTTTGCTCTCCGCATGTCTCTGTTTCGGCACACCCCTCACACGTTTCGTGGCCCCATAGGGAACTCCACCTAAGGTCCCAGTGGCGGAACTCGCATGGCGCCGCCGCCCCATTTTGGCACACACCCCTCACACGTTTCGTGGCCCCATAGGGAGCTCCACCTAAGGTCCCAGTGGCGGAACTCGCATGGCGCCGCCGCCCCATTGTGGCACACCCTTCACACGCTTCGTGGCCCCATAGGGAGCTCCACCTAAGGTCCCAGTTGCGAAACTCGCATGGCGGCGCCGCCCCATTTTGGCACACCCCTCTCACGCTTCGTGGCCCCATAAGGAGCTCCACCCCAGGTCCTGGTGGCGGAACTCGCATGGCGCCGCCGCCCCAGTTTGGCACACCCCTCGCGCGCGTCGTGGCCCCACAGGGAACTCCACCTCAGGTCCCAGTGGCGGAACTCGCATGGCGCCGCCGCTCCATTGTGGCACACCCCTCGCGCGTTTTGTGGCCCCATCGGGAACTCCACCTCAGGTCCCAGTGGCGGAAGTCGCATGGCGCCGCCGCCCAATTTTGGCACACCCCTCACACGCTTCGTGGCCCCATGGGGAGCTCCACCTAGGGTCCCAGTGGCGGAACTCGTATGGCGCCGCCGCTCCATTTTGGCACGCCCCTGACACGCTTCGTGGCCCCATCGGGAGCTCCACCTAAGGTCCCAGGTGGCGGAACTCGCATGGCGCCGCCGCCCCATTTTGGCACACCCCTCACACGCGTCGTGGCCCCATAGGGAGCTCCACCGAAGGTCCCCGCGGCGGAACTCGCATGGCGCCGCCGCCCCATTTTGGCACACCCCTCACACGTTTCGTGGCCCCATAGGGAGCTCCACCTAAGCCGGGGAAGCAGGTCCCGCCGGCCATCCGGGCCAGGTGGAACGCCATGAGGCTGAAACCCGATGCTCGTGCACTCCGGGAGGAAAGGTTCCAGAACGGCCACATGATTGGGTCCTACTGGGACGCCGTGGCGCGCTGGATGAACATGCGTGCCCAGCAGGGCGCGGACGTCCTGAAGAAGCTCTCTTCCTCGTGCAGGCCGCCGACAGGTCTGCCCCGACGATGTGCAGGAAGGGCGCCGCCAAGATGATGAACTGTGCCAGCCCGAAGAACACCGGTGGCATGCACGGACTGCCCCCGGTGCACGTGGGCATGCGGATCCGGCTCCTGGAGGCGCTGGACCTCAAGAGCGGCCTCGCCAAGGATGCCGAGGGGCAGATCGTTCTTTTGTCGTGGACCCTCGAGATCGGGACGACGTAGACAAGGCCGAGAGAGACAGGGATAACAGGATCTATCTGAAGCACTTGCCGCTGGGGTTCTGGGTGCGCATGGAGAAGTACGCGAGCGCGCCCTTCGTGGGCGACCTCGAGCGCCGCGACGACAGCCTCACGGGGGACCTCACGGGCAAGCTGGCGTTCATCGAGCCTCGCACGTCGGAGCCGTTCACCTTTCGCACCTCCAAGGTCACCCGAACGGGCTTCCCCTTCTCGCACGGCAGGGTCATCACCACGGTGGCGTGCCAGGGGCGCACCATGCGCGATGGCGACGGGGCGAGGGAACAGCGCTCTGGGGCAGTTTACGGCCAGACCTGCTGGGCGCGAGCAGTCCGCAGCCAGACCTCCTCTCGGTCTGTGGACTCTCGCCCTGGGCCGTCGGCTGCCCGGCGCGCTGCTCCCTCGGTCGACGTCGCCCAGGCGTGATCCTGGACTGCGGCCGCCACGAGGTGGGGAACGGCAAGAAGGAAGACGACGACTGGTGGCTGGAGCTCTACGTCCTGCTCTCGAGCGCCACGCGCCACGAGGACCTCCTGCTCATGCGGGCGCCGCGCATCGAGCTCTTCCTGGCAGGGCCGCCGGAGGACTTGCGGGAGCAGCTGGAGCAGTTTGCGGCGCGCACGAAGCGGTGCAGAAAGGAGGCGACGGCCCTCGCCAGGGAGGTGGGCTTCACCGAGTTTATCCGCGAGGCTTGACCTGAGGAGCGGCCCGCCCGAGACTCGCCGTCTCTCGACGGTCTGACTGTTTGGCCTCGCGCCGCGGGCGATCCGCGCGCGTCGCTGGGACCCTCTCGGGGCGACCAGCGCGCGTCGCGGGAATTCCGCGCTGCGCTCTGCCCAGAGCCTCGCTCGCCCCCTTCGTCGCTCTGCCCAGCGGCCACAGTCTTGCCCGCTATCACCCAGCCAGCTAGCACTCTCTCTCTCTCTCTGCTCCGCGCAGCGGACGAACCGCGCGCGTCGCCGGGACCCTTTCGGGGCGACCAGCGTGCGTCGCGGGGACTCAGTGCGGCGCCGCGCCCGCAGCCATGGACATCGGCGTGCACGGGCAAAGAGGCAGAAAAAAAAGGGGAAGGAAGCGGGCGCGATCCTCGTGAGGGGCGTGCCGACATGGGCGTCGACATTGATGCACGTAGTCTGATTCGCACGCAGACACATTCACAATCAGACTTACCCGCGCTCAGGCTCCCCCGGTCTCAGTCTCGCGCACTCACAGAGCGATCGTCTCTGTTCGTATGGGGGACCCCGCCGCGCAGTTCGGCACGCCCCCTCACACGGCTCGTGGCCCCATAGGGAGCGCGAGCGAAGATGAGATCCGCAATCGCGGTACGGCAGGTTCGTGTCGTGCCGACCCCGGCGTTGGTTTTTGACACCGCAGGGATCGTTCAACCTTGAACGATCGGCCGTTTCCGCAACGTCCAATCGTTCAACATCGACCGATTCTGGGCCGCCGCCGGCGTTCAACGTTGAACGCCGGCGGCGGGGTCGCCGCCGGTCGACACGACACGAACCTATTGTATTCACAACTGCACATGGTCGGGTCCTTCGCCAGGCTAAAATTTCCCCTCCCGAAAAGAGGGGCCGCCCGTCGGAGGCCCGCCGCCGCCGGAGAGCCCCTCGGCGGGGGGGGGCGCCGACCCCCTCGGCGCGCGGCGGCGCGCCCGGGCGCCGCCGGGCAGGAGGCGGCGCTGGGGGTGTGCCACCGCCCAGTGGGGTCGGTGCCCCCGCCGAGGGGCTTTGGGCGGCCATCGCTCGGGCGTCCGCTCCCTGTGTTTTTTGTTCGGCCTCGTGCGCGGTGTTTTTTCTCGCCGGTGGCTCCAGGATGCTCCTGGAGCGTCCTCGCCGAAGGAGGGGGGCACACGGCCGAGCGATGCGCCAAGTTCGGTGGCGGTGGCCCGAGCGCCTCCTCCGAGCCGCGATCTCGTCAGTCCCGACGGCCGTTCCCCCCATGTCGGCCCCTTGGGGCCATCCCTGGGATCCGACGCCGCGAAAACATATGTGCAGAACCGTGATAGAGTTCACGCCCAGAGCCCTGGACCCACCTTGCCGCGGCGCCTCGCAGATTGGGCGACACCGCCCAGTGTGGAACGGTGGCCACGCCTGGATCTCGAGAGCTTTCGAGCCCCAGGGCCAGCGCAGACGTCCCCGAGAGGCGCTCGAGACGTCAAAGCCGGCGGGATGAAACACCGCAGTCGGATCTCTGGGAAGGGGGGGCGGTGAACGAATCAACTGCGCACGGCCAGTCTTCCTGGCGCCTCCCGGCGCCGGAGGTGCCGAGGTATCGAGGAGAGGGCCTGGCGGCGGGGCGGAAACCAGCTGCATGCAGCAGAGCTCGTACGCCACTGTCCCAATCCCAGACATCCGACGATCTGATCTTCCCATGCGAGGCCCCAGAGGTCCCGACCCCTTCCCAGGGGGTAGTTTTCCGTCCCCGATGCAGTTTTGCCTGTCCTGCGGGCGGATAGCGAGCCATGGAAGCCGAAACCTACGAAAAACACCCGGATTGAAAACATCATACGGCAGGCTCAAGTCGTGTCGACTTCGGCGTTGGTTCCTGACACCGCGGGGATGCTTCGACCTTCAACGATCGGCTCTTTCCGAAGCTTCCAACTCGGTCCACGTCGATCGATCCTGGGTCGCCCGCGGCGTTCGAAATTGAACGCCGCTGGCGGGGTCGCCGCTGGTCGACACGACACGAACGTACCGGTAAGTCGGGCATGTCCCCCTACAGGGGGGTCTTCAACGACAAATAAGAAATACTCCAAACATGCTCAAACAATGCAAACGACAAATAGTCAAAAAATCGTCCGAATCATATTTTTCACTATTTTCGAGTACACCTGCTGTAGAGGGACAGGCCCGACTTAAACCTGCCGCGTCGTCGCAATTCAGGGATCTCCTCCTTTCGTCCGCCCCGAGATGTGTTCCGCCGCGTGCCGCCGCTGCGTCTGGAGCTCGTCCCCCGCTCCCCTCGGGCTCGGAGTCGGTGACGAGGCTGGGGAACGAGCTGGTGGCCGAAAGTACTGGCGGGATCGGTCCGTATGTGATCGGAACGTCGGGTCGGGTCGTAATCAGGAGCTCCTCGACCCTCCTCCCCCTCCTCTTTCCTCTCCTCCCTCCCCCCCCTCGGCCTCCCTCCCCCGCCTTACCCTCCACCTTCTTTCCCTTTCCTATTTTCATCCTCCTCCCTTTCCTCCTCCTCGTCTTCCTCTTCCTCCTCCTCTTGCTCCTCCTCTTCCTCTTCTTCCTCCTCCTCCTCCTCATATGTGTCATCAACCTTACCCTCCACCTCCCCATCATCATGTTCATCCTTTTCCTCCTCATCATCATAAGCATCGTCTTCAACATCACCATCATCAGCATAATTTCTTCATCATTATCATCATCAGCATCATCATCAGCATTCCCATCTTCATCGTCATCTTCATTCTCATCCCCTCCTCGTCATCCACATCAACATCATGACCATAATCACCATCATCCGCATAAACCGTATCATCGTCATCGTCGTCGCCATCATCATCATCACCAACAACTTCAGCAACGCAATCAGCATCATCGACATCAGCATCATCACCATCACCAGCATCATCAGCAATATCATCATCATCCTCGCCCTTATCCGAATCTTCACCATTACTTCTTATCATTAAACGCCCCCATATCCCCACCTAGCAGGCAGATAGCAGCCCCGCCGTCCTAACTGCCAACGACAATGCAACCTTAACTTTCTTGTCGCGAGCATGCCGTCGAGTTGCGACACGTGTGCCAGGAATGGGACGGACTGGCCATCGTTTGGGAGGCCCTAGGCGGGTGGTCGCGTCCGACCCATCATAAAACAAAACAAAGCCAATGTGTTTCTCGTCAGCATGAACTTTCTTGTCGTCGACGCTGCGAAACGTGTAGCAGGAATTGGACGCGGCGCGCATCGCGCGCAAACGCCTGGCCAACCCTACGCGGGACCCCCCCCCCCGTCCTACCTGACAAAAAAGACCGCAATGTCAACGTTTTTCTTGCAAACATGTACTTTCTCCTCGCCGGCGCTGAGACTCTCGCAACGGGAATGGGACGCGGCGCACATCGCGCGGGGACGCCTGGCCGCCAACGTGGACTTTCTTGTCGTCGACGCTGCGGCCCGTCGGGTTGAGGAGCAGGGCGGGCGGTAGTCATAATGCCTCAAGCAAGCGCGGTTCAAGCAAGTGCCTCAGGAGACCTCCAAGAGGTCGAAAAAGGCGTCCAGGAGGTCCTGGGGGGGCAACACAAATATTAACTTTCATGTGGTGTTTGAAGGATTGTGAAGTTAGAACCTGCTTGTGATGACAATGTTCCAACCAGGAAACATATATATATATATATATATACAACTATATATATATATATATATATATATATATATCCAAGAGGCCCTCAGGCGTATGCAAGAGAACTCCCAGGACGCCCCGCGAATTCCCAAGAGGCATTCTCCTTTTCCTCCTCAGTTTCTCTCTCCCTCCCTCCCCCTCTCCCTCACCTCCTCTTCCTCCTCCTCTTCCTCCTCCCCCTCCTCCATGCGCTGCAGGAGCGAAACGATTGGCGGTACAACGCGCGTGGCTGGAATGAGACGCGGCGCACTTCGCGCGCTGGACATATTATCGCTGACGATGCAACATGAGAGGCCGGAGTGGGGCACGGCGTGCATCGCACGAGGTCGTGTTTCTCGTCGACGTTGCTCAATACGCGGCAGGAATAGGACGCAGCTCATGTCGCGCGCTGAACGTCAAGCCGCCCACGATATAAGATGAGCGACAGGCGTCGGACGCGACGCACTTGCTTCTTATGTTGTGGGAGGGCGGGGGGGAGTGGACGGAGCCCTCTGGCTCGTTCGAGCTGGCTAACTTGATTCTAACCCTCACCCTCACCCTCACTCTCACCCTCACCCTCACCACCATCATCATCATCATCATCATCATCATCATCATCAGCAGCAGCAGCAGCATCATCCTAATCCTCATTATCTTCCTTATCCTCATCCTCATCCTCATTCCCATCCTCATCCTCGTCCTCATCCTCATCCTGATCCTCATCTTCATTTTCATCTTCATTTCAAACCTCATCCTCATCCTCATCATCACCATCGTCGTCATCATCATCACCAACACCACCATTAACATCTCCATTTCCATCCCCATCCCAATCCCCATCCCCATCATCACCATCATCACCATTATCATCCTTCTCCTTCTCCTCCACCTCCATGCATCGCGAACAAAAACCACGGAGGGCGAACTTTAGCGATTTGCGGCCTCTGGAGGCCCTCGCCCCAAAGCCATCAACAAACGACACAGGAAGAAAAGCCGGTCCCCAGGAAGGGGTCCAGGTTGCACGTGGTCCCAGACCTCCGCAACCGTGGTCTGGAAGTGTGCGTCGGATCGAGCTGCATCGGCACAGCTCTAGATTCGGCTCGAGTCGGCGATGCCAGGATACACCACAGCGCCGCGCAAGCATCGAGCCGCATCGGATCGGTCAAAGGATCGAACCCAGATCGAATCGATCCGGCCAAGATCAATGAAGGGGCCCTGGGACACACAAATAAACAGACACAAATAGCAGGATCCCACATATCTTCCCATATTCCCTGGGTTCTTGTCTTCCCCCCCATCTCCCATATTTTCGGGGGAATCGACGATTAATTGTGTGTGTGTTCTTCCCCTCCTGAATCAGCATCGAGTCGGAACAACCAGATCGTGGCGACCCCTGCGCTCCACCGTGGCTTGGGCAGGAAGTGACCCTCCGGAACCCGCGGCTCGCCGATCCCTGCGAGCGGCGGGACAAACAGCGACCTACGCGCTTGGGCCTGGCCCCCCCAAGGCCGCGCGCCAAAATCAAGGAGACGCAAGACTCGGGTACGTACGGGGGGCTCGGGTTGGCCGCGACGCCCTCTCGCGAACCGAAAACGGTCAATCCGCTAATCGACGTGTCAGGGCAGGAGGTCGATCAACCTCCGAAGGAACACGACGCAACACGGAACCATACTCTTGGATGTCCGCAGGGCGAGCGGCGCTGGACCCCCCATCCCTGCCGTGCAGAGCGCGCCAGGAGCGGCGCCCGAGGCGCCGCCAGGGGGGCTCAACGGCGATCCAAGAAATCTGGACGGTGCTCCGGACGGCCATGTTTATTCGGGGTCGCACAAACATGGATTAGGGATCCATGGATTTGGTAGGCGGTCGTTAAATCCATGGATCGGGGGAGGTGCCCTCCCCAAAATGCGGCCGGTGACGCCTCGTTCGGCGGCGGAAATCCGCGATTTCCAATGGAAACGGGACCCGTCGCTAATTCACGCCCCCTTGAACCATGTTTGCGATCGCCTGATTTACAGTAGGGGCCCGACCACAAGAAATCTTCCACAAGAAACACAACCCTGAGGACCCAGGGCGTCCATCGATGTTTGGTGTGAGAACGTCACGATCTCCATGGCAAAACCACCGAAGCCCAAGGAACCCAGGGCACCCTGGAGGCAAGCAGGATGCTTCTTGGCATGGGCCTCCACTGTATGCCGTCTTCTCTTCTTCGGGTGTGTCCAGACGTGCCCCCTGGCGGTCCTCGTCGCTGGCCTCCGGCGGTCCTCGGTGGCCTTCGGCAAGAGAAATGGGATGGGCGGTTGCGCTCAGAGGAGCCTTCCAGATGGGGTCTGAGGAGATGGGATCGAAAATTCGGCGGTCTTCGGCGGTCTTCGGCAGGAGAAATGGGATGGGTGGTTGCGCCCAGAGGAGCCTTCCGGATGGGGTCCGAGGAGATGGGATCGAAAATTCGCGCCGCATCGCCGACACGTCGGCGCCGTCGGCGTGGGGGGCATCGGACTTCGTATCGAGGCCGCGTCGGCGAAGCAGTGGCGATGCGGCTCGATCCTCTCAGCCCATCTCCTCCGACCCCATCTCGGGGATGGACAGACCCCCCTTAGTAAAACGTGGTTTAGTTAAAACGACCTGAGGCCCAAACCTGGCGGGCGCAAGCCTGGAAAATAGCGGCCACGGCGCCATCTCGAGAACCGAAAATGGACAATTCACTAATCGACGTGTCACTGTTGGGGGTTCTGTCCACCCCCGACCATCTGCTCCGACCATGTTTGGGAGGCCTGGAGCTCAGCAAAGGGTCCATGCTTGAGGGGCCACGATAGGGGGGGGACTGGCACAGGGGGGGGGTAAACATCGACCCTGAATCGGCGATACATCGCCGATAGGCTGGCGATGTGCACCCAATGGCGAATCCGCACGTGACTGGGCAGGGTGAGACCCCTTTCAGCGATGAGTGAGCAATGGCTGGTCGATGAATCCTTCCTGAGCCTATTCTCCCCTGACGTTGCCCCTAACCTTGGCCGCCTGCGACACTACCGCGCGGACGCGTTCGCAAGACGCCCTCGCGAGAAACCCAGCCCTGAAGACCCGCGCGCGAGGTGCGACTTGGAGGGACCCCGGTCGCACCCTGGACGCAGGGAGCTCTGTCGCGGACGCGGGAGGCCTCCGCACAGCGTGCGTAGCGAAGATACCCAAAATACCCTCACGAAGAATTGGCACGCCCGGAATGGGTACGGAGAAAATGGGTAGGATGCCCAACAGCAAAGTATGTCCAAAATCGACAGTGGCCGCTTCTTCAGTGCACAACGTCCGCCGAGATAACGACAACGAATCCTCTTCAAAATGGGCACGAACTGCTGTCGGTCTTCGTACCCATCATTTCCGTACCCATGTCGATCGTACCGAGAAATCTAGGGGGAAACAAACCTACCTCGCTTTTGACCACCCTCGCTTCCAAGAGATACCAAGCGATGCCAAACTACGGCCTGTACTGGTCAGGCCGCTTGACGAGGAGGCGCGTGGTATGACTTGGTTTTGCCTGGAAGCGAAAGCGGGGTAGGGAGTTCACGCTCTGAAATTCATGCGGTCCATGGTCGAACATCCAACGAGCGCCCCCACTGCTTGGAGGTCGCTAGAGGGCGGCGGAGGGGCAGCGCTGTCTCCGGGGTTAGATCCCAGTGCGCTCGGCCAGCGCGTATAATCTGCCAGTAGTACTCCTTTCGACCCCATTGGCGAGAAGCTCTGGTCGTGACAGACCGACGATTGGCCTGCTCAGGCTTGCTCCGACACTAGAAGAGCGTTGCCCCCTCCTCCGTCGCCCCAGAAACACAGATCGCGTTCGCTGCCCCTCAGCGAGCCTCAAATCAGGGGTGCTTTCTGATTCGGGCCTCGGGGGCCCAAATAGGAATTGCCCCAGACTGGAGTTCACTACACCGGGCAAGTCGCGCGACCAAGAGGGGGCGGCGCCGACCGCATACCTGCACCGGCCCTGACCAGGCTCATCCTAGCGAGGCGGGGACTGTCCATGCCGGGCGCCGAGGCAACGGGAGGCGATGCGTGGGGGAGGGAGACACACGTGCACCTTTCGTGCCTCTTTCGGGCCCCCTCCCGCCGCCCCAAAACCGCAGATCTCGTTCGCTGCCCCTCCGCGAGCTTCACCCCCCGGCGATCCTTGCCGGTGGCCGCCCCGCCGCTCGTGCGCGGCCGGCGCGTCGAGGGCTCGGAGGGCGGCTGCTCCTGCGCGTCGCCGCCGCACTCCGCAGGGGCGGCGGAGAGCTCCTCCTCCGCCAGGTGCGGCGATGTCGCCGCCGCCGCCGCCGCCGCCGCCGCCGCCGTCGCCGTCGCCGTCGCCGTCGCCGTCGCCGTCGCCGCCGCAGTCGTCGCCGCCGCCCTCGGGCCCTCGCGCGCCGGCGCCCCCGCGGCGACGCGAGCAGGCGAGGCGCTCGGGCGTCTCTCCGAGGGGGTGCGACCCCAGCTGCTCGGACCCCATCCCTAGGTAGGGCGACGAGATCTATGCATATCCACTGCTCCTGGCCAGGCCAATCCTGGGCCCAGGAGCGGTGTATACGCCCTCCTGGCCTGGCCAGGGAGGCATATACACAGCTCCTGGGCCCAGGATGGGCCTGGCCAGGAGCAGTGGATATGCATAGATCTCGTCGCCCT